TATTAAAGTATTATTAATAATTATTATTTTATTATTATCTAAACTATTACATCCAATATGAATAATAAAATATTACTAGAAACAGAAAGAAGCTCTGATGATGATGATTCTATGGCATATCCTAATTACATTCCTTCAGATGTTGAAAGTCAGCCTTCCTCAATGTCACCAATTATCTTATATTCAACCCTCTCCACTAAACACAATGAACACAAAAGTCTTTTAAAAAAGAAGTGACAGAATCAGTAAACTAGCTTAATCAAAATCAACAAGAAGAGGCTGCTTCTATAAGTTATGTTAACAACATTGGATAATAACAAGAATTCTATTTGCAACTCTCCATACAAAGAATTGATCCTGGCAAAAATATAGATTTTCACAAGCGGAGAGAAGACCAATACTAATGTCACACATAAGTTTGCGTAGTTACCCGAAGAAGAACAGGAAGAAAATCACGAAGAGTATGAAAAATATATGAAATTAAGGTCGATTAACATTTAGAATTGAAAGAATTTAAGGGAATGCGAGATATTACAACTCTCTTCTATAAAAAAATTTCAAATGTGATCTCAAAGCATTTTTGTATAATTTCAAATAAAACCGTTCTTTTTGATTATGAATAAAATTTAATTTTTACAAGTTCCCTTTAAGATTTCAGTTGTATTTAGTTTCTTCTATGTCTTATGTTCAATTTTAGAGGTTTGTGATTTTACGTCATTTTAAACAATTATAATTCAGATTTATGAATACATTTTATTTTTATGCGCTTATTTTATCGTTCTTATATTATTCCGTCCAGAAACTGTTGTGTAATTGCTACCATTCGATTTTTTTCTTGTTTGTTGCACAAAAATGGTCTATAATTCTACTATGAAACCGAACACCTCTTTATATGAATGACAAGCCAAACAGGAGTACAATTTTGTAAAATCACGGAAATTATATTAATTTTGACGATTTGTCATTTCAAAATTGTAATATTTAAAAACCAACAAGACTCAAATTACTATTGGTACAATTATTAATAATTTTAGAATAAATGTTTACCTCCATAAATTTCAGACATATTTAGGCAAATTTGGAATTTGGAATTTTTATCGATTCGCCGTCATGCCAAATAGACTTAAGGACCAAAAACAAGTATTATAGAGGAAATATCTTAAAATCAATCATCCCATATCAACTGAAGTGTAAAAATATGGTCACATGCAAAAACACAACGAGCTGGATAAATCACAAGAAAAGTTATTAAGTTCTCTGTGTCTCCTGAAAAGTAACGGTTTTGTGGATACGCCCCTATGGTTTGAGACTCGCGATATTAAGTATAAATTATATTATTACTGAGATGTTTTGCTAAATTAGAAGGCACATGTAAAAAGTAGTTGATTATTCAAATGTAGCTATTCCCACGATTTCGCCCGCGTGGAATTTTTTTTGGGCGGAACCCTAAAATAAAAGTAGCCTTTAAGTTACTACTTATGACATCAGAAATATGCTAATGAAAGTCCCATCCGAATCGGTTCTCAGGATTCCCACAGTACGTTACTAATTGAAGCAATGTCGTAGGTAGCTTTTTTGATTTTCAAAGTGCATTGGTAAAGACTTTAAATTGAGATTTTAAATTAAATATCTTGACTATGATGCTAGCGATGGGGTTATTGTTTTTATTACCGCGGTACATCAGAGCCGCCCGGTTATATTCCTGCAGCAATTTTATTCATCTAAACATGGTGCAACGTATTACAGCTACATCACCAATTAATCGGCTCAGCCTGTCTGTAAAACCGATAGAGGAAGATCCTGTGTCCTCCCCTATATTCGGACCTTAGATAATTCTATAATATCTTATCTTTCCACTATCTCTTCTCGTCAGCCCTGAGGGTGCCTACGTTATCTCATATATCTCAATAGTGTCTCCCAACGGATAGGTCTTAAGATAAACAAACAAAACAAAGATTATGTGTAACATCCATGTCACAGGTGTGATAAGGACGTTACACAAAATCTTCGTCGGTAGTTGCTGGGTGGATCTCTCACAGAATAATACCATGTGGAATGAGACGAGACCAGCCCCTTTTTACCCAGCTGCTTCAGAAGGAAGATAATATTTCTCGAGAGCATGTGTGTATGTCAACAGAAGGGTAGGCAGAGACTACAGACTTTCATCTTCTGAATTGTTTTAATAACTTTTTTTCTAGGATAGCTTTAAGTAGTAGCAGTAAGTGACAAACGAGCACACAGTCCACCTGATGGTAAGTGGTTGCTGTGGCCCATAGACATCTACATCTATCCTCGATTAATAGATGCGTTGTCACCCGTGAGGACTAAGATGGAATGCCTCGTTTACAGTAAAAAGAGTCTCAGGTACACTACACTCACCATACGAAACACAGCATCGTTGAGCTACTATTTTACGCTGGTATTCTGTGAGAGCGTGGTCCTTCGCAGATCGAGCCAACCCATTCGTGCTGCAACTATACTACTAATCTAACCGCAGCATGGCTCTACCACGTATAAAACTTTCGTCTAGGGCTTCTCTTGCCGACTCTGCCACTCAGTTTCGCAACATAAGTACTTTTATCTTGCGAAACTGTAATACTTTTCTCTTATCATATATCTCACCACTTCATTCAGTCACACGTAAAATACAATTTAATGAACATTCATGAAGTTACTTCGAAAGTTTTTATCCATTTTTCAATTAAATAAATAATAACGATCAAAAATTAAAGGATAACTTTATACAGGGTTATTTTTCAAAAAGCAGCCAAATTTTGAACTAAGTAGAAATATATAAAAACAGAATTTTTTTTTAATCAAATAGAATACCTACCTATAAAAGATAATTATCAAGTCACTTTTTTAAATTACCACTGGTGCAGAAAAAACCTCTGTCCAAAGAAAAACCAGCAAGTAACTCAGCGGGACTTTTAAAAAAAAAAGCAGCTTACAATAATGTAAGTTACAATTAACAACACAACAAATTAGAAACAGCTTGTAGCGATCACCATTCTCAGGGGTTATTATCATCCATAAATTCCTTAATATTATAAAAACCCTTTTTGTACAAACTTAGAAAGTTTTTAAACTTTGTGCAGGCCAAATTTTGAATGAATTACTGACTCGGTAGAGTCGAGTAATTGGGACTACTAGCTTGTGTCTGTTCCAAGTATTTACAAAATGTATCTCACTTATTTTTATAAAATTACTTACTTTTATTTTTGTGTACGTAGGTACATAACCATAACCAAGTTAAATATCGCGTTGGGCCTAAAAAAAACCACAAAAAAAAGACATTATGCTATGGGAATAGCTGAAGTAAACTGGTCTATAAATAATGACATATATACCGTTATTATAGTTTTCAAAAGTCAATTAAAATACTCGTAATGCATTATATCACGCATTTTGAATTTAAAAGATAAAAAGGACAGAATGTTCGAGATTGTTTTAATTAAGTTTTTTTCAGCATTTACCTATATTACTTATTCTGAACCCTCTCTGCAAATTTGGCCGGTTATCGCGAAATAATTCTGTATAATGAAAATAAAATGAATTCATCTCCCACAGGGATATGAATTTTTAAAAATCAATAGTAATTCGATGGATACTTTTATTGTTAGTGCGAGAAAAATTAAGTCATAAGACAAAAAATATTATAGACTTATTTCATAATTAATGCACGTTTTTTTATTAGAAAAAGGGTGCCAAATGAGCGCACATACATGATGGTAAGTGGATGCTGTGTCCCATAGACATCTACATTTAACCTGAATTAAGAATCAAAATACAGATGCGTTGTCACCCCTGAGGACTAAGATGGAATGCCCCGGTTCCAGTAAAACGAGTCTCCGGTTCTCTACACTCACCATATGAAACACAGCTGCTATTTTACGCTGGTATTCTGTGAGAGCGTGGTCCTCCCCGGTCGAACCGACCCATTCGTGCTACAACCGTGTAGCAGCAGCATGGCTCTACCACATAAAAACGTTACTCGTCGTTCCTCATGCATTAGGTTATAGAATTAATTACTCTCTCGTTTCTTCTCCTATATCCAACTTTCACCGCCAAACAAGTGAGTTACAAATGATAAAGGTCGTGTTTTGATAACTGCGAGCATTGCTGAGTGCTCTCACTGGTGAAAATTTCGTCCCATTATGGACTGTCAGCATACAGCTGCAGCACCTACTACTAGCGACCACTGGCTCTGGCGCTTGCGAGGTAAGGTGCTCAGTACTTTGATTACATAATCAATAAACATAACAGCGCCCAGAGATTCCACCATAGAATACTATAATACATGCACAAATTCTATGGCTTCCACGAACAATTATTATTACTATTAATTAATATTGTTATTCAAATAAACTCGGACATTAAGTTTTAAAAGCAACAACATTCAAATAATATTTTTTCGTATTGAACAGAAACCCTGTACATGATAAATGTTTTAATTTGAAAACAGTTTTGAAAAATGGTGATGACAGTATACTGAATTGACGTCAAAACTTACAGTGGTCAGTGTATATCGGAACACACCCAAAAATTGTAAAGAATATAAATGAAACAAGCAAATACAAACATATTGTTTATTGCATATGACAACACATAGGATCTCTTTTAAATACTGATCGTTTCTTACGATGCATTATCATTGGAGAAATATAATAATACACAGCGATAGTTCTGTACCATCTAAATTGGTGACATAGTATATAAGGTGACAGTTTCATCAACACCCGCACATGTTTCCCAAGCTATTATTCAATAAAAATATTTCTCGTTCATAAATCACTAATTACAATATTAAGATCATTGATCAACAGTTAATACACGTAACAATTTGTCGATAAATTGGTTAGATGCAACAAATTGGAAACTTAACGTCAAGTTATTGTCATGATAATCTTTTTTATTGGAATGAATCTGTTAATATGATATTGATATTTGATATATACGCTAAGGTCCATATTCAGCATCTAACCGAACTAAGTTTGATCTTAGTTGGCATCAACAAAGTACTCCTGGGCAGCTTTAGTATCAGGTTTGATTGTCTTCGATCCGGGCTGCCAGTTGGCCGGGCACACCTCTCCATGCTTGTCCGTGAACTGGAACGCTTGAACTAGACGGAGTGTCTCATCTACTGACCTGTGGGAAAGAACAATGCAAACTTTATATAAGTTTATTTAATTGTTATATCACACATTTATGTCTTATAGTGATAATTGTCGTAAATTTAATCTTCTCACGTTAGCGGAACGCCGTGAGATCTTAGACATGGGTTTTTTGTTCGATATTTTACGCGCTCAACTTGATTGCCCTGCACTGCTTTCACAAATATCCTTTAAAGTGCCCCGACGTAGGACTAGACATACACTTTTATTCGGTGTTCCCTTACATCATACTAATTATGGCAAGAATTGTGTCCTCACCAGAATGGTTAAGATTTCTAACAGTAATTTTTTTCATATTGACCCATTTATCTATTCAAAAAATTTATTTAAGCGAAAGGTAGTACCGGCTTTGACAGGAGTAGACAGTTGTTTATTTTGGTAGCCTCTGTAGTTTTTTAAATCCGTAGTAACATCTCAAGTTATATGTCTAATTGACATAAAAGAATTTAATATAATGTATGTATGTAAATGTGTACATGAGTGTATTGTATGTATATATATTTATTTAAATGTTAGTATATGTATGTACCTGCCTATATGTATTTAATTATAATATGGTTATATGTATATGTGTATATGTGTGTGCTTACATGTGTTCATATTATCCCATTGAAGCATAAATAATTTTCTAGGTCAGCCATGACAAACATTTTAAATTAAGTACTGTTTTTGTTTAAAGGTTTTGTTGTAATATTCTTTTTTTCAACTTTTCGTACTTCTGATTTGTGCTAAATTGTGAAAAGTGGATGACTATTATTGGCCCTATGTAAAACATATTATATAAGATTTTTTTTCACAGAATGAAGGCTGTTGTTATCCCTAATAAATAAAATAAAATAAAATATTCTGAGCATTTTAATATACACTCAAAGATTTGTTCCATTGTGCATCCACATACAAATGGGTGAAACGACCAAGGTAGTACTATGCTTTGACAGAAATTATGAAACGTCGGAGTAATGCTTCTGTTTGATATGGTGAGTCTAGACAACCAGAGAGAGAGAGCATGAGAGAGACTTTTGCTGGCAATGAGGCATCCCATCTCAGTCCTAGGGGTGACAACGCCCCCCCCCCCCGAACGGGTTCCCGCCTTGTCGTGGCGGGGGAGAACAAAGAGGAACCCACGTGGCTGGCCCGAGGTGAAGGGCCGGCCTGAGGTGGCCGCTTCGAGTGGGCTTGGGGAGCCCACTTCGGATGTGTGCTGGTGGACTGCAGCGAGTGGGGTCTCACGCACCCTCTACCGCTGCAGCCGAGGTGGAGTCGCGGAGGAAGAGGAGTGTTGGTATGGCGATGCACCACTCGCCCTATCCTTCGCGACTCAAACGGGGCCGCACCGTTGATGCGGTGGTGGTGGAGCTGCGGGGGGAGAGGATTGTCGGTATTGCGAGGCGCCGCTCTCCCTACCCTCCGCAGCCGAATCTTGGTTGGCGGCGGAGCCATAGACCAGATCCGCCGCTGGGGTCGGGAACGCTAGTACTTCTAAGTGCTCGTTTTTCCTGGCCCCATGGCCTTTGTGCATCGGACGCGGGGGCGTCTGTTGCACAGACGTAGTTGGAGGCCGTGGAGGAAGGCGCGCCATGTGTTCTGGTGCGCCTTACCTGGGAAGGAGAACGGGGAGGAATTTTCCTCTCCCGAGGAGGTGCTGCCATGGGGCGGCAGGCGCTAGTAGGGCCGCGGATGTGTGCGAAAGCGTTCCCGTAGCCCTGCCAATATGCGACAAAGGTGGAACACCATGGGGTTTTAGTCGGTGCGAGTCCGACATAACCCGTCCTTGCCCCCGCGAGGCGGGTATGCGTAGGCATTTCCCCATGCAAAAAAAAAAAAAAAAAAAAAAAGGGTGACAACGCATCTGCATTTTTAATCCTTAATCGAGGATACACGTACATGTTCAGGAGCCACTGAATCCATTTACCATCTGGTGCACTGTGTGCTCATTTCTCATCCTATTCCTATATTAATATTTTGAATTTACATTTGGGTACACTAGTAATAGTAACAGTGAAAGCATTTTACTTTATTTTAAATACTTCAACGGTAACATACACAGATGATTTTTAGCAGAATTAAAAAAGTACGATTTTAACAATTTGACTATGTTTTTTTGTAAATTATCAAAAAAAAAAGGTTATGTTCATTGCTAAAGGCTGGCGAAGCGTGGGGTAAAGTTTGGAATAGAACTATTTAGTGATATTACTTATTCCACTCAAACGGGTAAAACAAATAGCCTTTTAATGAAAAATAAAAGAAGACCTCAAGCAACTAAAAAGAATATGAAATAATTTCACATTCTAGAGTTGAGGCTTTAATTTTTATTCTGTCTTTTTCTGTTTGATAAGTTTCAATCGGTTCAATAATTCCGAGAATCACCCAAGTCAGACAGACAGACAAAAATATAAAAATGTTGATTTGTCTTAATAGCATGCAAATAAGCTTCAGAGTCAATAAAAGACAGTTATTTCAATATATTATACATTTCATTACAGACAGACATTTAAATTCTATTTATAGGTACATACATCTAAATACATAAATCAGGTACTTCAATTCCGATAACATGACCCAAAATTTATCACCGATATTGATATTCGAAAATCAGATATCCAATCATGTTATTCATAGTATATAATCTTGTACAAGTTAGCGTCACGTCCCAGCTGTACTATGATTACAGCACGAGTAGGTCGGGTTTCCCAAGGAAGGATCTCCCCCTATCCCCGCATAGAATACCAATGTGAAATGGTAGCATAATGCTTTCTGTTTGTACTGTTTCATATGTTGAGTGATGTGAACCAGAGACCATTTTTACAAATAACGAAGCGTTTTTGGTCCTCATTGGTGGACAAAGTACCTCCCTTAGAAATCATTATATCACGAACTATGATTGTAGCACGAAATCCCTTTGACTGGGGAAAGACCAAATTCACAGAATGTCAGGGTTATTTCTTTTTATTTATAGTCTTTGTTGCATGCATGTTACAAAAATATACCAAACTTTAATTTATATATACAATTAAGTGGCCTTATCGCTGCATTATTTAGCAGTTTGGCATAAATATAAACTAGAATATAAAAAGGAACTATTCCCATACAATGCTGTTTTAACTAACAGTTTCTAATAAACAGTTAACAAGTGGACAAGCAAATTCAAGGCTAATTATCACATAGTCCATTATTTTATCAATTTAATATGGCCATTACAGTTATCAAGTTTGATAAATGTAGAACGTGACAGACATTACGTCTAGTGTAGAATGACTTTGCAATTATATACCTTTACAAACCCTGACATTAAAACTGTAATAAAAACCCTGCATAAAAATGTTTAATATATTCTGAGTGTGGTCCTTCCCAGGTCGAGCCAACCCATTCGTGCTACATCTATAATAGTGCTGCAGCATGGCTCCACGAGCACAAGTAAAATATCAACAGGTATACAGGTATTGTCTGTGAAACTAAAAAAAAAACACTCCGAAATAATTAGAGAGGCAAGTGCCTAGTATTTGGACGCTAAATAGCTAGCTTCACTCTCCCACATACTTAATAATGAAATTACAGTGCAATAAACTGTGTATCATAATTTTTACTCTTACCGTCCCACGGGCAGGTCATTGATGGTGATCTGCCTGAGGTTCTGCTTGCCGTCGATAATGAACAGGCCTCGGAATGGAACTCCGACCTCCTCGTTCAATACACCATAGTCACGAGAGATGCTATGCGTCTTGTCGCTCAGGATCGGGATGTTCATAGGGCCAAGACCCCCTGAAACCAGAGCATGAAAATTATCATATGTTACATATTCTGTTACCCAGAGGGGTAGGCAGAGGCTACGGTCTTCCATTTGGGACCAACTTGACATACATCTCTAGCTTCTTTCACACACTTATACCTATGCATATATGCTTGCTGATAAGGGTACTTTTAATTTGACCTATCTTCAATATATCACCAATTTGGATAATAAACTTCTGTCTAGGGCATCCCTTGCAGACTCTGCTACAATTTTTCACTCTTTCGTTCATTCTTATTTTATTTTCTCTCCTCCTCATTCATTCTTTCTTGGTGTCTAAACTGAAGCATTCCTTTCTAAATGCTAGTATTAAAATCTTGCAAACCACACTTTTCTCTAATCACACAATATACTCATCCTGTAATTTTTTCTTAAAGAACATGGGTGCCAAACACATTCACTTGATAATAAGTGAATACTGTGACCCATAGATATTTACATCTATCCTCGATTAAGCATCAAAATGCAGATGCGTTGTCACCCCTGACGACTAAGATGTAATGAGGAAAAAGATGTAATAATAATGTCCTCCAGACCGAATTTCGGCCACGGCGGCCTGCCTCAACAGAGGCGAGCCATCGGCGCAGGACAGGATTATAGTGCCCAAGTGTATGCGCAAGCACAGGTGCACTCTCTATTCCCTCATTCTCGTAATCCGATGGGACGGTAAACCGACACGACCGGAGATCAGGCGCAGGACCAACGGTTTTACGTGCTTTCCGAGGCACGGGGGTGAGACACCGCCAACTTCCTGACTCCGGGCAGCTAATGAGAATTTCTTGACAGAAAAACTCAATTGATTTTTTGGCCCGACCCGGGATTCGAACCCAGGACCTCACGATCAGCAGTCGCACTACTACAACCACTAGACCAACGAGGAAAAAGGTGTAACAGTAATTCAATTCCATTGGTCTCTGTTTCTCTACACTCACCATAGGAGACAGCAGCATTAAGCTGCTTTTACACTAAGAGCCTGGTCCTATCTCAGTCGAGCAGACCCAGTCATGCTGCAACCATAATATAGCCGCAGCGTGGCTCTACCACGTCGAAAATTTACTCTGTGACTGTGTGGTCATTTATGTTTCATTTTTTTTTGATTTATCATAAGAAATCATTATATTATGATCAACTTGTATAGCTCACAGCTTGACATTGGCCCTTTCCATTTGTGGGAAGTATTTGGCATAATTACCTTGCTTGACCATGCTTGTGGGTTCAGTACTTGCTAGTACTTTTAGGCTTTAGTTGGATGCATGTGTGCGTGCATAATATGGGGGTAAAGAAAAAATGTTCTCATACCGCCGCCACTACGCACCGCATATACATACAGAGAATACTCATGTTTTATTTTTGTGTGCATGCATGGTAAGGTTGTAAGTACATCACTCGGAATAGCTGTTTGGGTATTAATCTAAGAGTCTGTGAGTCTGTGAACGTGTGTTAGTTTAGCCCATATGCGTTAGTAGGGTTGCCAAGAATCCGGATAAAGCCGAACAGGCTTTTTGGGTATGTGTCCGACTAAAATAGATGGTGTCCAGTCTGTCTGGATTTTAGCTAGCTCAAGCGAGTCATGGCGTGACGCAATCTTGTTTTGAATTGCATTATAAGAAAGACTGATTCATTCATCATCATCATCATTACAGCCCTTCACAAGTCCACTGCTGAACATAGGCCTCCCCCAAGTAATGCCACAAAGCACGGTCCTGAGCCACCTGCATCCATCGACTTCCTGCATGTCTTACCAGGTCGTCACTCCATCTAGTGGGGGTCGCCCTACACTACGCCTACCGGTACGAGGCTGCCACTCGAGAACCTTTCTTCCCCATCGGTTATCGGTTCTTCGAGCTATATGGCCGGCCCATTGCCACTTCAGCTTACTAATCCGTTGGGCTATGTCGGTCACTCTGGCTTTACTGCGGATATCCTCATTTCTGAGTCTATCACGCAGAGAAACTCCGAGCATAGCCCTCTCCATAGCTCGCTGAGCGACCTTAAGCGTCCTCATACGGCCAGCAGTGAAGGACCACGTCTCAGATCCGTAAGTCATCACTGGCAACACGCACTGGTTGTACAATCTAGTTTTTAGAGATTGAGGTATACCTGACGAAAAGATATGCCGTAATTTCCCGAACGCTGCCCAGCCGAGTTGAATCCGTCGATTGACCTCTCGGTCGAAGTTGGACTTACCTAGTCGGACTATTTGTCCCAGGTAAACGTATCCGTCAACAACTTCGAGCATAGTGCTCCCAACAACTACCGGCATAGGTGTGACATGGACATTGAACATGATCTTTGTTTTGTCCATGTTCATCTTAAGACCTATCCGTTGGGAGGCACTATTGAGGTCATTGAGCATAGTGCTTAAGTCCTCCAGCGATTCTGCCATAAGGACTATATCGTCGGCAAATCGAAGGTGAGTGATGTACTCGCCATTGATGTCAATACCGTATCCTTTCCAGTCCAGTAGCTTGAAAACGTCTTCCAATGCAGCGGTGAAGAGTTTCGGGGATATAACGTCACCCTGTCTTACACCTCTCTGCAGTTGGATAGGTTTCGAGCTCTGGTTCTGTACTCGGATAGCCATCGTAGCCCTACTGTACAAACACTTCAGCACTTCGATATACCGACAGTCAACTTGGCACCGCTGAAGGGACTGTAGCACCGCCCAAATTTCGACGGAATCAAAGGCTTTCTCATAGTCCACATACGCCAGGCAAAGTGGCAGATTGTACTCTTCAGTCTTCTGTACAATCTGCCGCAGGGTATGTATGTGGTCTATGGTACTGAAGCCTTTTCGGAAACCGGCTTGTTCGGGAGGCTGGAAGTCGTCAAGTCTGCGTGCGAGACGATTCGTAATGACTCTCAAAAACAGCACGTAGACGCGGCTCAGAAGGGAAATCGGTCTGTAGTTCTTTAAGAGAGCGTTGTCGCCTTTCTTAAAGAACAAGACCACCGCACTTCTGCTCCACGCCTCTGGAGTAGTGCCACCATGGAGGACGGAATTGAAGAGCTTCTGAAGGACTTCAAGTACCGGTGTTCCAGCCGCTTTCAGAAGCTCCGATGTAATTCCATCCTCGCCTGGGGCCCTGCCGTTTTTAAGGTGCTGGAGAGCCATTCTAATCTCGCTTAGACTGACGTCCGGGATATCATCGGAATAGTGTCGGATAAGACTTGCTCTTGGATCGTTACTCACACTTGCGTGTGGCTCCAACGATGATGATTCTGACTGATTCATTAAGCTTTGTTATTTCTGTAAGGTTCTGTTATATTAATCAAAGAGTTTTTGTAATTTAAAAGACGATAATGGCTACACTGGTTAACAAAGAGGATAAAGAAACGGCTGAAAAAGGCACAGAAAAACTATGAGTCTTGGAGGAGCATCGGTGGGAGTTATTTGTTTTAAAGTATATTGTACATGTAGTATTAACATATTTATTATCCTATCGCATCCCGAAATTATTATCATAATATATATATATATATACATTCCTGATTTTGGGACCTGGCAACCCTGTACGTGTGAAGAGCGAATGAATTCTGTCTTTATTCAGGCGTTTGAACCTTACCTTGTTTTCTGGGCGTGTTGATCCAGGCGAGATGAGTGAAGTGGGAGTCTGTGGAGGCTGCGATTATCTCGCAGTTGATCTTGCGGAAGTCGTCAGCGCGCTCAGAAAACGCAATGATCTCGGTTGGGCACACGAAAGTGCTGCAACAAGCGCAAGGATTAGTAACACGATCGTTATCGTATAATTATCAAAGAATCGGGATTACTCTGAAATCTCTCGAAATTTCATACCCGACTAAACTCCTGACAAAACGGAAAATCCCTCGACGAGAACACTTTTATTCGGAATATTCCGAGTAAAGTATACTTTTCATAACATAAACACTCACACCTGTCACCCAGAGGGGTGTTCAGAGACTACAGACTTCCATTTGGCACGATCCTGACACACCTCTATCGCCTCCTCCACATCAATATACCTACGCATACATGCTGGTCGGTTAAGGGTACTACTCCTAATTTGACCCATTTTCAATATATCATCAATTTGGACGATATACTTTCGCCTAGGACGTCCCTTTCCGACTCTATTCAAAAATCATTAGAAAATTATATGTTGTTGCTTGTGGGACACCCTTTCTGCCAAGGATTCAAGTCCACCCTCTTGTACATTTCTGCCATAGTTGTTTTTTGGTCTCAAAGGTACAAAAGACTACAATTACAGGGTGTGTGGCATTCCATCTTAGTGCTCAGTGGTGACAACGCGTTCGTAGGGCAATATCCATTTACCATCAGGTGAACTACAAGTTCTTTCATCACATAATACGGTCTGGGGAAGGAACATGCTCCTACAGAATACCAACGTAAAATCGCAGTTTAATAATGCTGTGTTTCGTATGGTGAGTGTAGAGATCCGGAGACCCGGATTTTTACTAGAAAGGAGGCATTCCATCTTAGTCCTCAGGGGTCACAACACATCTGCGTTTTGATTCTTAATCGAGGATAAATGTAGATGTCTATGGGCCACAACAATCATTAACCACCTGGTGGTTTGTGTGCTCGTTTGCCACCCTTATTCTTAATAAAAAACTTGTTTTATAAAAAAACAGTAAAAAGAGTTTAATGTAATCTACCGCTCAGGCTCTTCAGATGTCGCCAGTAGCAACTGAGAGACAGAGCATTTCACATCATTAAAAAGTTGCGTTTCATAATCTTCGTCATTTCAAAAATATATATATATAAACAAAAATCAATTGCTCCCCGTTTGTCCCGCTAAAACTCGAAAACGCGAACGCTTTTGATAATTTTTTTGTGTATTGAGTTCCTGTCCCTGTTCCTGATGGTTCCTGTGCTGTTTCAAAGTAAATTGGACCCGGCAGGCGACAGGTTGTCGAGATCCAGAAATCACACGTGCAAAGCCGCTAGTAGAATATTTATTATCCGTTACTAGTGAATCTATGTGTGTACAAGTTTATATTTTGTTTTTGGTCCATTCTGCGTAGATCAGACTAAAAACGGATAATTTTAGTTTTTTTAAAAATCTTTATTCATGAAAAACACACACATTTAGAGTAATAATAATCATCGATAAACTGTGCAACAGTTTGTTGGCGATAATGGCGCTCTTTTCTTTTACATTTATATATGTTTTATGTTACTTACATACTTACTTTAGGTATATTATATATATATATATATATATATATAATTAACTTATTGTAGGTAGCACATTATACTTTTCTTAGGAATGTAACTTTCAGTCTTTTCTTTAATGTTACAGTGTTCATATCTTTGAACATATCTCTTTAAAAATCTATTCTATTATATATAAGCAGAGTTAAATATTGCCTAGTTCTCTTTCCATAATAGTTTCTTATGTGTGGTATCACATATTTACTCTTTAAAACTTGTTTGGTAGATTAATTATGCGTTATAGGTTGTTTATATTTATTTATTTTATGTTGTTCTAACTTCTAAAGCAATGAGGTATTCTACTTTTTCATGCACTGGTAGTATTTTACATATATTAAACAATTTGTCATAATTTGTTTTACACTGTAAAATTACAGAGTACTTTTTTACTTACTAAATACTTAAGTAGTCTAATCTGTAATTTTTTATACGATTTAACTGTGTTTTGAATGTTAGCCCATAACTACTCGATCCATAACTGATTACCGAGTCAGGCAGCGCATAATAAAGTACATACTTTGTTCATAATGATACCGTGGTTAACTGTGACATTGGGACGTCTTACGCCCCAGTGACCATGGGTGCTGTAAAGTATTCGAAACATCGTAAATTTAAAATAAGTTTATATACACGCGATAAAATCCGTAAAAAGACTAGTTTCATTTAAAAGTGTAATGTTCCCGTAAACATAAGAAATCATTAAAAGTATATAATGCAATATTTTAAGAAGGTTGCTTTAGAAAATATTAATAAAACTAGAGAAAGTTCAAACAACATGCATTGATCATGACATGATCCTAAAGAGATTACAAAAGATTACTCGTATTCTATTGATAATGAATTTGTATTGACATCGGTTCTCAACAAGTCAGAATAATCAGACGTCGCGAAATGAGTGAAAACTGAATTGAAAAATAATACATTATTAACGGAACTGAATATATTACATATATTATAACTGAAACATCAAGCTAATGAAAACATTTGAAAAATAGAATCGAACTGTTGGGACCTCATCACGTATAAATTAAATATGAACTTCCGACAATCGTCTCCTAACAATCGACTCTCAAATGGGAAGTTAAAAACCACGGTCTTTATCATGCTCTAGTTCGAGACGTGGGAATCCGGTCTATGCACCTTTTATAGAACTGGTTTTGAGATTACGTACCTTAACCGGTAGGCAAGTAAGTCAATGTAACGTAACGGAGGCCTAGACGAACCTAATAAATAAATTTCGTCTTCTTTGCGTTCCTATACTAAACATCCGGTTACGATAAAACTGGTGAGTTTTTATACCCCCAAATATTTCTAACAAAAACTATTTATTTGTTTATCTTCTGTACATATCTTTAAGTGATTGTCTACCGCGCTGCCGCAATGCGTGTTGGCGAACTTCACCTGGCTTCGAAAGGATTTTTTTCTTATTTGTCAGACATTCAGGTTTCCTTACGATGTTTTCCTACACCGGCGAGCACGTGGTAAACCAGCACTTAAAATTGCTATTTACAATTTCCTTGGTGCAATATATGCATGTCAAAATCTACGTGAAGGGCTCTAGAACTCTTCTAGCTTCTCTTTGTGCGACTGGGCGAGCACACGGCAATAAGCATGAATCATTTTGATACAGTTAGTACAAAAATAATAAAATAATTTTCACATAATTGCTTATGAGGTCGAGCTGAGAGTAGACACAGTACAGAGAGTAGAGTAGTATTAGAGTAGTAGATAGTAGAGTACACACTATGTATAGGACAATATCATACATAAGGCCTTTGTACTGCGTTTTAGTAGATTTTAGCATTTTTACTATATTTGACATGTGAACAAAAATTAAACGATCTAATGGTCACATACTCAAACACTACTCAAATTTATAAAGTAATAAAGACAGCACGAGACTTAAGTCGAAATAGTATCGTGGTCACGAGTGAGGAGCGGCGATATAATATGTGCTCCTGTTTGGCAGACCCGCAAGCAATTTTATTGCAAAATATTTGATATTTCTTTTTAAAACGAAATATACTCTTTTATGTGAAAATAAACCCATAATTCCTCTATGTATTTACTGGTGAACACATAGACAGAATTTAATTGAAATTGCTTTAATTACATTCGAATAAAACTGCTTTTTCCCTTAATGGACGTATCTAAAATTGTAGATTTTGAGGAAATTGCGATTTTTTTTGTATTTCACTTTAACGGCGTCTTAAAATTAAGCAGCTTAAAGTACATGGGTATAAGAGATACCTAACCAAACAAAGTTCTAGACAAAAAAGAATCCTGCCATATAGTAAAGAGTTAAAGGTGGAGGTGAAGCTTATACTCACAAGTCAAGTGGGTAGAAGAACAGCACCACATATTTGCCCTTGTAGTCGGACAGCGAGATGTCCTTGAACTCGCCGTTCACCACCGCTGTAGTCTTGAATTGGGGAGCGGGTTTCGTGAGCTGGAGCGGCATCTTGTTGAAGCTGCAGAAGAAAAACCAAAATGATTAAATGTTTAGAAAAAGTGATAAGTATACGTGGTAGAGCCACGCTACAGCTATATTATAGTTGTAGCACAAATGGGTCCTCAAGGGTAACAACGCATCTGTATTTTGGTTTTTAATTGAGGGTTACGTATAACATGTATATGAGCCATAACACACCATCAGGTGGACAGCGTGACCAGTTTATAAAAAACCTAAGGTGGAGGCGCGAATAGATAGATATTGCACGCAATTGAGGGGAAGGGAGGTGCTCTTCAAACTAGGTAAGACATTTTAATATTAACGCAGATGTTAGCTATTTTACGATCTATTGAATAAAATGACTTTTACGGATTTTATCGCGTTTAATTGTGATTAGGTTTGTCGACGTTTCGGTCAAGGGGAGCTGAGGTTATTGACGTCCTGATGTAAAACTTTACTCGTTACTATCTTTAAGGAAGGCCTAATTCTATTAATAAACAACAAGTGGTAAAATTAAAAATTTTGTACAACTGACTTCAATACAACCGAATCAATGCATTCGAAGTCCATTAAATACGCATTATCAAAGATAGCTCATAAACTACTGGTCAGATCTTGATTAAATTTATATGGAACCACACGAGAAGCACCAGCTTTCAGATAAATAAGAATCATCAAAATCGGTTCATCCAGAGAAAAGTTATGACTTATGAGGTAACACACACAAAAAAAAAAACATACAGTCGAATTGAATACCTTCCTTTTTGAAGTTGGTAAAAATGTTCACTCTAATAGGTCGGCTCCGTCAATGAAGGATGTGAATGAAATGGATGGGGGGTGACAAAACATTCGAACTTCAGTTTTCAATGGTGTATCATTGGAGATTGAGATGCTGTATTCATGCATCTGCACTTTCTTAATAAAAGATATATGTAGATAGATATATGTCTTTAGTATATTGTAAATACTCAACAATATCAGATGGTCAGTGTGCTATGTCACACTTACTTGTATGGAAGTGAACAGTGTGGGAATGTTCATGTCAGTTTTATTGTTCAGACAGTTTCCGATGGTAATTGATTTAATTAACTCCATTGTTTGTTTTTACATGGTAAAATAACTGCAATTTTAATAACTTCGCATGTGTAACAGGCACAATACACTCTTTCCGAAACGATCCAGACAACCTTTCTTTGAAGTCGGTTAATAACTTCTGTGACCGCGAGAAAGACTATAAATAGTTAAACAATCGAAATGTTCATATATAGATATAATTGTGTGTCATTTGTTTCTAGCAAAGTGTAAACTGAAGAACTCTGCACCTTTTATCTTTTATCAGTATCGCTTTATACTTGAAGTGCATAGATTAACTGACAGCCATGCGACTGTTACATATTATGATCCGATGATCTCTATCGATCCACATATCGCGTAGTGACGGTGTATGAATATTCATTACCCCATATAATCACCCCTTGGGAGTCGTAAGAGGCGACAGAGGGAAACAAGTCAGGAGATGGACAGCCATGGTAAATATCCCAACTATGAGGCAATATATGGGTAAGGTCTTAAAAAAGTGTAAATAACGCACTGGAAGATATAACACACGGTAACACAATAACGTACTGGAATAATATAAAGGTCAATGTTCACTTGGAAATAGGTTCAAGTAAAATCCATTTTAAAATATTATCGATTACTTATTTTCATGAAATTAAGATTAAATAATCAAAAACGAATCTTACGACTATTCTAAGCTTGAATTTTTGCGAAACAAAACACCAAAATAACATAACACACTAGAATTAAAGCCTTTAACAAAATAATGTGCTTAGAAAAAACAGTAGATACTAATCAAATTAGGTTATTCATAAAAGAAACATAACGAATTTAACAAATATGTGCTTACAATTTACAATTAGTACAGATACTATAATTATTACCATTTATCACAGAATTTTGTTTTACTGTTTTTTTTTTAATTATAAGGGCCATTTGACACTATTCGCGTTCGCACGGAGCCATATTTAAGAAGAAATTGAAATTTAAAAATGCGTTTTTTTATGTAATCAATAGGCGAACTATAATATAGTATTGATTAAAACTACTTTTACGGATTTTTTCGCGTTTTATTTATATTAATTTTAATAACCGACGTTTCGGGTGCTTTCCAGCACCCATGGTCACGGGGGACTGAGGTGACTGACGTCCCAATGTCAAAGTTAACCCGGAGCACCTTCAGCTTTTTAATTATTGTCTTTGGTCCGATCTACGCAGAATGAACTAACTGTGTTTTGAAGTCTTGCAGTGGTATGCTTGGGTTTAGTTTTAATTTTATTAATTATAGGATCCCAAGCAGGTGGTAGTACCCAGCCTCCTTCTCTATTGAAATGGGGCCATCTAGAATATGATCGCAAACTGCAGACTTCCCGGAACGTTGTGAAGCATCAACACAAAGACTGCAGTTTGCGATCATATTCTAGATGGCCCCAACCATTACATCAGATTTGATAGACCACAAATCCTCGCGAAAGAACATCGATCGAGAAAAAAAGAAACAGACTGGACATCATTAGCCGAGGAGATTTAAGATTAACCCTTACAAAATTGACGCCAAATGTTGATAATTTATTATTAAAGCATCAGGTTCATCCTTCTCACTAAAAATATTGACTTATTGCTTATGTTATTTTATTTATAGTTTATTTTATGTTTATTTAATGCTACGTATATTTTACATAACAGATACAAAATTTTATTTTGAGTAGTTTTAATTTAAATTCAATTAATAAATGTATAAATTAACGCGTGTTTTACTTTAAGTTTTTAACAATAAACTTCACTACAGTTAGATATTTACAGGAAATCAATATCAGGTAAGTAGGGGGTCTACCCAACACGGAAAAACATGGCAAGGGGTCTACGACACAAAAAAGTTTGGGGAACTGTGAATTAGAATAAGATTTTTTCCGCTAGCATTGTATTATTGCAATAATTTATTCATTATCACACGGCATCTTTATTGTTTTCAAAGTAAACTACAATTTTAAAATCATAATGCTGTATTATTTTATTTGTTGAATTTTTTTCGTCCTGTAAGTTGATAGGAGACAAATAAATTTTGTATGCAGCTTAATTTTGTTGATTCAAAATATTTTCTATGTTTAAGTTTCTTGAATATTCTGGTTATTTCTACATTATTCTAAACATGATTATCAATGTTTTATTAATTAATAATATTATCATTCTTTTTGTTAGCGTATAGTATTCACAATCAAACATGGGCTCACTCAAAACTTTTAAAAAGTACAATTTTTACGACCTTACCCATATAGGGGCAGCCTATGTTCAGCAGTGAACTTTAGATGGGCTGTAATCCACAACGAATAATTTAAATTTGTGCGGCAGTCGGAAATACAGAGTAAGAACCTTTTTATGGCACAGAGTAACTTTTATGGCACAGAGTAACTTTTATGGCACAGAGTACCTTTTTATGACACAGAGTAACTCCTTTTTATGACACAGAGTAAATTTTTATGGCACTAAGTTTGAGTCCGCAAGCTCTAAAGCGTTGTAAACAATCAAATCCAGACATTTCTACTAGTATGTAGGTAGTACATATTTCTTTAATAGTAAATTGTAATGCTCGTTCGCTCTGTCGCGGAGGCTTTGACGCCATAAATGTTCGGAAGTTAGTATACTAGTGTTGAGTAGGACATACAAGAGGCGTTACATTTGTCCCGGACATGACGTCAAAATGTAAGAGCGGCTCGGCATTTTTTAATGTACTACTTCAAATTTTATGTCGCGGCAGTCGCGAAGTCGCCTTACTCACTCTCCGTCTTCGTAAAACTATGAGGACAGAGAGGGAGCGAAATGCATGCTACAAATTAGAATAGTACGTCATTCTAAAATGAACATTACGTGACAGCGTTTCGAATCTCGAGCGAGAGGGAAATATGTTGCTGACATTGATATTAATAAATACTGTGAGGCGCACATTGCAGCGAACTCTTTCCATTTATATGTGTTTTGAATATCGTAACGTACTTGAGTCAGTGACCAGTGCAAAAGTTTTTAATTTGATACTTCGTTTGTGTAGTTTAAGTGAATAGATATTTTAATTTAGGTATATATTCAGGTATGTAAGTCTTTGTATTTATTCATGTTTTATGAATGACTTTCAATACTTATTTATTTTGCTTGTATGGCTACTTTGTGTTAAAGTTTTAGTTTTAATTTTGTGGTTTTAATATTTTTATTTGTCTGAGTTGATACTTTTGTTTATGACTACATTTGAATAAAAGATACCTATAAACTTTGTATAGTTATAGGTGTGGGTATAAGTATTTAAGTAAAAGACAGTTTAGCGAATGTCGATTGTCCGTTGGCCAGGACACCTCACCGGTGCGAGCGGCAGCGGCAGGGTTTTTGTCAAATCAAAATAGATACCCTATTTAAGGGTTACCAGGCTACATAAATAAAATATCCCCTGCTAATAACGGTTTTAGATGTTTACTTTATTTGACATTTTTTCTGTTTGCTTTTTGCATGCGCAGTATGTCTGGTGATGGTGATAGAAAATCCTCAAAAGCTTGGCAGTTTTTTAAGGACCTCAAAAATGATAAAGCCAAATGCAATTTTTGTCAGAAAGAATTTTCATACAAAGGCGGTGGTGCTTACAACCTAATCAGACACACAAAAAGCAAGCATCCACAAGTGTTTGTCGCTATACGTGAATGTCCGATTGAAGATATAGCTTCTTCTGCAACAGAAATCCATAATTTGACAACACATTCCACTGATTCGACAGCACAAGAACTTGAGATGCCTACTGCTTCCACATCTACTGCTTCAACTTATGTCGTGCCTGAAACATCTGATTTCTTACCAGTCACCACTAAAAACACCAACCTATATAAAAAAGCTCCAGCCACTAACACGAAACTAACACAGTACTTTTATAAACCGCTTTCTGCTAAAAAAACTGAACATCTAAACAAAATGCTAGTAAAATTATTCACAAAAAATTACTTAGCCTTCCATCTCATTGAATCCCCTGAACTCAAAGATTTTATTAAAGAATTAAATCCAGCCTACCAGTTACCTAGTTGTAAGACGTTATCTAATGCATTGATGACTAATGTCTATAATCAAACAAAGAAAAGGTTAAGTCAGAACTCTGTCAAGCAGAACATGTGTGCATTACAACTGATGGGTGGACATCAGCCCCCAATGATAATTACTTAGCCGTGACAATACATTTTTTCAATCAGCAAGCAGAATTAAAATCTTTTTTGTTGGAATGTATACAGTTTCCAGATAGACATACTTCAGAAAACCTAGCACTAGAACTAAAAAGAATTACAGATAATTGGGAAATTACTGACAAAATTGTAGCAGCAATCAGTGATAACGCTTATAATATCAAAGCTGCTATAAGACTTAATAATTGGAAGCAAATACCTTGTTTCGCTCATACTCTCAACCTTATAGTCCAATCTGCATTAAAAGAAATAAAAGATATTACTACAAAAATTAAACAAATTGTCGAATTATTTCGTAGAAGTCCATTTTCATCTGAGAGATTAAAAAATATGCAAAAGAAGCTAGATGAACCCCTATTGAAGATAAAACAAGACGTTTCCACACGCTGGAACTCCACGTATGATATGTTCGAAAGGGTGTTAAAAATTAAAAACAGTGTTATGTCCACAATTGCTATCGATTATCCCGATACTATAAATATGACTTCTGAAGACATTGAGGTTTTGGATTCGGCAATAGAAATTCTTTCATTTTTCAAAGATGTAACTGAGGAGATGAGTTCAGAAAAGAATGTTACAATATCAGAGGTGAAGTAATAGATAACGCATTTATTTTGTATATTCAATTTTAACATTCTTTTTTTCATGTATGTGGTGTTTTATAAATTTCAGGTTATACTTATATCAAACACCCTCAAAAAGAAATGCCTAAAATTTTTATCTACGCCACATCCGGACTGTATTTTACGAATGACCCAAGTGCTTTTAAATGAAATTAGCACAAGGTTTTCGTGCATTGAGGAGAATAATATTTTTGCTGAAAGCACTATATTAGATCCAAGATTCAAAAAATATGGGTTTGAGAATGAGTACGCTTACAGTAAAGCATGTACAAATATCAAAGCCATGGCCGGGCGAATTCAAATACAAAGCACATGTACATCAGAGCCGCCATCTTCGTCGCCATCCCGTAAGCGTAAACATAGCATATGGAATGAGTTTGATGAGCAAGTGGATATGATAATAAAAAATATTAATCCGACTGCAGGGGGTATTATCGAAGTTGATAAATACCTCGAGGAACCCCTACTGCCAAGGTCCCAAGATCCTGCCAAGTGGTGGTTCGTTAAAAAGGACGCCTATCCTAGGCTTTATAAGTTATTTTTAAAACGGCTTTGTATTGTTGCCACTTCAGTGCCTTCCGAGCGCACTTTTAGTAAAGCAGGCCAGGTCCTTACGGAGAGAAGGAACCGGCTTAGTGGCAACAAAGTCGCGCAAATATTATTTTTACATTCTAATTTATAATTGTATATGCAAGCTTTTTTATTATATTCTTTAAAATATATTTCTTTATCTTTTTATTTACCTACTTACAAACAATATAATCGTGTATGTTAATCGTTTCATAGTCAATGTCTTCAATCAGAGTACAGATTGTAACTTTGAATTTTTTACACTTTATGTCGTCGCGTAATGGCCGCGGCGCATGCCGCGACACATGATAGGGTGTGGACAGAAACGTCAAAACAAACGTCAATCTAAATCCGTAGCTACATATTTATACATTTGTAGTTGTAGGCAATAACGTCAAATGTCATATTTATACTCGTAACTTCAAACGTTTCGTCGGGCTTCAGCACGCCTCGCCCAAATACCAAACCTCGTTAGCCTCACCTCAATTGAAGTGGGACATTGCACTGGCTCAGTGCAAAAAAAGAGGCTACTCTTACAAACTTTATTTTATGTCGTGTCCTACCCAACACTATAGTATACAATAGACTAATATATTGTTTATCCTTTTGAGGGCCAACGACACCTATATTTGACAGGTCCTGTGCGCCAACGACATCTATAGTCGACATAAAACCCCGCCCACAAACATATGAAATATAGATATTATAAAATTATTTAATGGTATTTTAATTCAATATTCCTCAATATAGAAAATACCAGCAACATGCGAGTATGAAAAACAAGTTTCTTAGAGCCACAAGTACTGAGAAACATTGACTTAAAACTCATGAATTTTTAACCAAGCAAATATTATGTCCAGCACGCCAAATTCGTCTACGATTGACCGCCAGTGTTGCAATGCGGGAGAGGCATAGATTTCTTGAAAACTATTCAAAATTTGCTTGAACCGTGTTTTCTTTTTCAATTAAAATTCATATTTAAATTTCATCAGCTAGATGAAGTAAAAAAGCGAATCCTTAGCGCATCATCGCTTATCAGTTCTCTGAGCGCCGTGGTCAAAAATAGTTGACACCCTGATGACGTCATAAGCGAATAGCGGAAAAAATACTGCTGTGCAACATTAACATTTTGTTTTCGAGGCTAAAATAATTCTCATCATGTTTTTTAACACATTTATAATGCATATAGTAGATATTTTTTATCTCGAAAAGCTAATTGCAATGTTCTTTAGGGAAATAAATCTCTTAAACCATATTTCAGCATAATCCTTCTGAATAGTAGGTGTCGTGAGTAGACTACAAATTAGAAATCAACCTAATAAAAAAGCGTTAAGGCTTAAAATTGTGAATTGACTTGCTAACTTTCGGCATTACAATCGTTCCGAATAGTCTTGTGAGTAAACTAAAAATCGATCAGCGGAAGCCCCCTCTACCCTTCCCCCGTGTGGAAAAGTAGTTTATGAGTAATGATTTTTTTTTTTTTGAAAAATTATAACCCTACTTTTTTACAAAGAAATAATGAATCGAAGTTACTTCTGCAACGGCCCCTTGTGGGCCGTGGGCGTACATCAGATTTGATAGACCACAAATCCTCGCGAAAGAACATCGATTCCTACCAAGGATTATACGTGAGGCTATTGAAATTAAAAAAAAACATCCTAATTTCAATAGAGAAGGAGGCTGGGTACTACCACCTGCTTGGGATCCTATAATTAATAAAATTAAAACTAAACCCAAGCATACCACTGCAAGACTTCAAAACACAGTTAGTTCATTCTGCGTAGATCGGACCAAAGACAATAATTAAAAAGCTGAAGCTACTCCGGGTTAACTTTGACATCGGGACGTCAGTCACCTCAGTCCCCCCGTGACCATGGGTGTTGGAAAGCACCCGAAACGTCGGGTATTAAAAATAAATAAAACGCGATAAAATCCGTAAAAGTAGTTTTAATCAATGTATAGTGTAGTGTAAATATAAGAAATTAGATAAAAAGCATTGTTATACTTTTAAAAAAAATGTAATTTTACTAAGACTAAAAAATTAGTGTCCGGCCTTATTACCAAAATGTTCGGCTAAGCTCGCTGGTCTGTTCAGTTTTCTGGCACCCCTACCCCTTAGTGTTTTGGTAAAGCCGTAGGCGCTGCGGGAAGTGTAGCCCTTTGCCCTTGCGTAGCTAATCGCAGGCACCCATGCTCACCTGTGCAGCCTCGTCTTTGCTACAGCGGACGAAGGCTGCTCTCCCTCCGCGCTTACGGTTTTACGAAAACACTAGGGATAGGGCAGACAAGACGCTACGGGGAGACGTGGCGTGCAGATTCGGTTCGGTTTAAGTATTCGGCTTTTGAGTATCGATACTCGGAAACTAAGCGACATGGAAAAAATTATTCTTACTTTTCGGCGTATATCGTCGAGATTTATGCGTCTACGCCGTTGTCGCTCAGTCCAGACAGTGACGTTATCACGATGAAGAGTAGTGCTGTGGTTTATAACTATTTTATTCGTAATGTTTTTTTTTATTATTTATGTACTAACTACATATACACAAAGAGTGGGAGATATCACAAGATTAAAACAAAAGATTAGATAAAACATCCCAAATTATAAGTAGTCTTTTATCGCTATGTTACCGATAATATCTATCAACTCTTTGCAACACTGTTTTTTTTTGGAGGTATTTTTGTTTAAGTACTTTGTATTTTGGCGTACAGGACATGGGAATGCGCGTTTGTGGGCGTGACGCTCAAAAGTTAAGATGAATTAATTTTTTCTTTTAATAAGATAATAAATAATCTTATATATGTATATTATTTTATCGCAGTTTAAAGATTGAATGTACACGTGTTGAAGTGTACACGTCAAACCTAGAAAGTCAGCATTAAAGAAGATTGAAATTAATATTGCAGAGGTAAATAATGCTACGAAAACTATGATAATATTCGATCTACTATACCTACATAAAACAAATCACAAACCAAACAGTCTTTCCAGTCAAAAGGCCTGTGTTAAGCTGGTGCACGATATGGGGTGAAAAAGCCGTGGCTCTCCACACACGTACCAGTAAGTCTTCGCCGTGGTAGAAGTAAGTAGTCAAAGATCCGCTTGTAAACATGTTAGCTAGCGTTGCCTCGAGATTAGTGACCCTGTAGTTAAACTGTACGCTAATTCTGTTCAACAACCCGTAAATGCTACTGGACGGTAGGACTTTATTTCTGACGTCAAAGCAGTATTTGCACTGCCATGTTCCCGTCTGAGGGGTATAGATCTCTCTATGTATAGTTACAAACATTCCATCAGAGTACTCAGAAATAACAACGCGTATGTAGCCTTCATTGTTTAAAGATGGCCGCAGATGTCTATAGACTGCAGAAGCCACTCACCATCAGGTGGAGTTAGTTCGTATGTCATTTGTTTTATTTAAAAAAAAAAACGAGTTACGCGGGCAATTAAAAATGCGTTTAAAGATAAAAGGTTTGTGAATTTACGTGGTAGAGCCACGCCGCAGCTGTATTGTGGTTGTAGCACGAATGGGTCGGCTCGACCGGGGAAGGACCACGCTCTCACAGAATACCAGCGTAATGCTGCTGTGTTTCGTATGGTGAGTGTAGAGAACCGGAGACCCTTTTTTACTAGAATCGAGGCATTCTATTTTAGTATTCAGGAGTGACAACGCATTTGCATTTTGATACCCCACAGCAGCCACTTACCATCAGGTGGACTGTGCGTTCGTTTGTCACCCTAATTCTATAAAAAAAGTGGATGCCGTGTCCTTGACACTTACATCTATCCTCGAATAAGAGTCAAAATATATGCGTTGTAATCCCTGAGGACGAAGATAGAATTCCTCGTTACCATTAAAAAGTGTCTCCGGTTCTCTACACACCATACAAGTTATAGCAGTTATATATAAAATTCGGTCCCGGTCTAATCAACCCATTCGTACTGCTGCCATAATACTGTAATTCTTCAATAGAATATTTTCTCTTCAAGATTTACAGGAGCACCCCGCTTAAAAATTCAAACATTTGTTCCATGATCGGCGATCGATAAGACACTTGACCTGGCTAGTTAATGATATACTGCGGCTGTAGTATGTTATTACCCAGGTGACGGTTATATGTGTTAGGATTGAACTATTGATTTTTGACTACCTTACGAGTACTTAGTACTTTGGTAGAATCCCGGGTTGGGCCAAAAAATCAATTATTTCGTTTTTACGTCAAGATTTTATCAGTAGCTGCCCAGAGTCAGGAAGTTGGAGGTGTCTCACCCCGTGCTTCGAAAAGCACGTAAAGCCGTTGGTGTTGGTTTACTGTCGTATCGGATAACGAGAGTGAGGCAATAGAGAGTGCACCTGTGTATGCGCATACGCTCACATTGAATACCAGCTTAAATTAACAGCATAATGCTGCTGGTTTCGTATGGTGAGTGAACAAAAACTGGACACCTGTTCACTAGTGACATTGATTCCACTGTAGTCCAAAGGGGTGACAACGCAAAAAAATCTTAATTCTTAGTCGAGGAGTCTCTGGGCACACATCATGTGGATTGTACGTACATGTCCCCCCATACTTTTATGAAAAAATACAATAGTGGGTCCTAGTAGCTTAGTAGAATAAACCAAAATGGGATCCCATTTTTCTTATCCTGTGGGATGTGTGCTCTATCACACCACATCAACAGTCTCTCGATATTTATTGCTGAAGAAACACCTTTCTAAGAATGCACCAGCTAAGAAGTCACCCTTGGAAGAATTTTCCTTATCACTACACTAAAAAAGATATTTCATTGCTCTAAAACCCTCTCAAACATGAAAGGCCTGTGCCCAGAAGCGTGTCGTAGGTAATATAGGCTCTAACTTTACTATGGTGTTTACGATCTTGTACTTCTTAATAATAATAATTTTAAACACTATCTATTACATAAATGATTGATGAATGACGACACTATCTTTTTAATTGATAAATCTAATTACAACGTGAACACGGCATGTTTTTTCATTGACCGGGAAATGCCATTCGCTAATCACTAGACGGCGGCAATTCAAGGCTATCTCACTAATAAAACGATTACATATAAAGTAACTGATTGCAAGCGTATACAACATGATCGAT